TCTTCATTTATGTGTAAAACAACAAATTCTAGTGAACTTTCATTTAATAATGAATAAATACAACCGACAAACAACAAACAGACAAACAACAAACACATACAGATAAATATAAGCAAACACAACAGGTGTAGATCATTTCTACCTAACAGCATGTAACCCAAACATTCACCTTAATAATAAGAAGATGAATAACCTACACTGCAATTCTATGTAAATCAACATTAAGGATGTTTTACTTTGTTTTGGAGATTACATTAACACATAAACTTTATACAGAACAGAGAACTTTATACAGAATAGACAACAAAAAGAGAGATATCACATATCAGGGATAGAATATTATTTGCAGCTTCTTCCTTCTTGGTGAAAATCGATGAGAGCAATTAGAAAATGAAGCTACCTAAAGATGTCGAGACAATTTCTTTCCTCTGCTAAATGAAAATGGATGGCAATATATACATCAGACCCAAAGAAGCTTTAATATATATTATTATATTGTACATTACAATTAGTGGAGCCATGTGAAATTGACATTAACAGCCACATAAAAACTTAAAATAGAATCAAAGACAATAGGAAAAAAAATAATAATTAAATAAAAAAGTCCATTAAAAAACTGCAAGCAAATATTTTGAATGACATCAAGTTGATACTGTTAAATCATTGCAATCTAATAGCCGACCTAATGAACTGCAAAGGCTGAAAATCACATGACAACACACTCCTTTCCATTATTTTACCATCTGACCACTTGAAATAAATAAAAGAATATATATTTATGACCCACACAACAAAAACCACAAAAATGTAAAAGTTATAAGCCTAAGAAAAATGTATACAGTGTACAACAAAACCCAAAACGAAACAATTCATATATATATCAAAAGAGGGGAAAAAAAGGAAAAATGAGTTAAAAATACAAAACTATGAACTTTCCTGATTTGCATGTCCAAATATCGCTCTGACGAAGACGGTAATAAGTCATCCATGAACCTTGCAACAAAAAAAAAAAA